GGCGGTGACATCAAGAGGCGGCAGTGAGCACACACACATACGTGGTGGTAAACAAATTGCACTGGAAACGCCATTGTGCAACTTTGATGACCAAACGGGCGGGCGAGTGCAACTGTGCACATGGGCAGTTGCATACACACAAAATGGGGTTGATGTGATTCCCATTCCCAGGTCAACACCCAACCAACCACTCACCCCTGAGCCGCAGATTCCATAAATTGGGAAGCTCCCCCGAAGCCACAGCCGCCGCTACCAGCTTCCGGGCGATTTCCATGTGCCCGGGGTGGGCCGTGTCCAGCAGGTAGTGGCCGCTGGGTCGCTTCGGATTGAACAGCGCCGCGGGGCCGATGCGTGAGGCCAGGAGCGACTGCTCAATCCCTGAGAGGGCTGTGGGAGCAGGGGTGAATGGCACGCACGGCGATGTTGCATTGCCGTGGGTCGGTCGGGGTCGTTTGAGGTGTTTGCGAAGCAGGCGTGAGGTTCGCAACGCTGCGGTGTTGGTGCTTCGGGCGGCGAAGTGGGGGCCACATTGAGCTTTGGCATGCTTGGGAAGAAGCTGCAGGGAGGGACAGACAGCGCGCCGCCACCAAACCATGCCCAATCAAAGCCACCCTGCCCCCGCTGCAGTCGCACCACCATTGGCTCACACACACACAGATTGTGAAAAAAGGGACCCACCATACGCAACCGTCCAGTAGGCGTCTCCGCGGTCTACCGTCAGAGGGAACAGCACCACCGCCGCCTCCACGCGGTGGGGGCCAAACTGCGGGGATTGCGAGGGTTGCAGGGCGGCCATGGGGAGTGAGCGGTCACAGAGGCGCGTAGGAAGGTCTCAGAGGGCTGAGGTTGCTCTGCCTCAACAAGGGCATGGCCGAGAGCCGTGATTGGCGCCGCTGCCGCGGGTTAAATCTCTGCTGTTCGCTGTGCATGCCTGCCCAGAGCGGAGGCGTGCTGCAGGGAATCAGCCGTCGCTCAATGGCTCTCCCCAACGCCACCGGCTGCACGCGGCCGGCTGCACGCGGCCGGCTGCACGGGCAGCGCCTCTCAAAGCCGCCGCCGGCAACCCTACCCACCTGGAAGCACTCTGCTGCAATCATGCGTGCCTGAGCACTCGACACCACCAGGCCCGGCGCCGCGCGCCGCAGCGCCTGGATCTGGGAGTTGGCCGCCGCAAAATCGGATGCAGGCAACGGGCTCGGGCTGCCGCCGTCCTCCGGCGGAGGTTCAAATTCGATGCCCACCTGTGACACGATTTTTCCCAAGGTATGGGTTTGGTTGCCGGAATTTGCATTGATCGACCAGTGTTCTGCCAATCTGGTGACGCTGTGCTCAGAGTTGCATGACATATGAATCGGCACAGCCAGATCTGCGCCTCCTCCTCCGTGACTGCCCCTGGGCTGCTCACCCTGTCCTGCAGCAGAGCCATCAATGCTTCATCCGCCAGCGGCGCCGCGCCCTCCAGCGGCCTGGCCTGGCTGACCACGTCAAAGGAGAGGGCCCCGGCGGTGGGCATGCAGGCACGCATGTCGTCGGGGGGGCCGTAGCCGGTGGGGACCTTGCGGGCTTCCCTGCGCGTTGCAGTGTGTGTGTGTGTGTGTGTGTGTGTGTGTATGTGTGTGTGTGTGGGAGGCGCACACGTGAGCGAGTGTATGTGGGTGTTTGCGTGGGTGCTTACATGCGCACATGGGATGCGTGTGTGTGTGAGTGCGTGTGAGCGTATTTGTGTTAGTGTGCATGCACTTGAGGTGTGCGCACGGTCAGCATCGCTGCATTGTGTAGTGTGGTTTGTGTGGCGCTCTGGCGTGCGCATGCAGGTGGCCGCGGGAAACCCTGGATGCCTGCCACTCTGATCGCAATTCCCATCCTTTTCCAACTTCCGCCCCCATCTCATGTCCCTCCTCCCGCACGACTCCTGCGACTGTGCATGTTGCACGAGGCCCCGCACTACAACGCGCCACCAAGTATGCGAGCCCGTGCATCAAACACCCCGCCCCCGTCATTCCGCCCCTTCCGCTGACTGCTCACTCCTAGAATGCAGGGTACACCAGTCCTTTACTGTCCCCCTCGCCTGTTACCACGAGTGCACATTGTGCATCAAGCTCCCCCTTCAACCCGCCCCCCCCCCCCCCCACACACACACACGCCTTCTTTGCACATGATGGCTCCCTGCGAAAACCCCAAACACACCCAAAGTACTGAAGTCCCACTGCCTTCTCGCGCCCCCCTGCTCTCCCACCCTAGGGGTGCTCCCCGCGCCATGATTCGCCTCTCACCCCCACCCCCGTAAAACCACCATTGCGCCCTCGCCTCGAC